AGAGAGAGAGAGAGAGAGAGAGAGAGAGAAAGGGTGAGTGAGTGAGTGACATAAAATGTAAATGAGTATGAAAGTGAGTATGAATGTGTAGATTAGTTAGCAAGTAAGCAAGAAATGTATATGTATATTTAAGATGTATTGTATTTAATGGAAGTCCGTGTAATCACGTTGGTGAGCACGTAATAAACTAAACTACTTTCATTGTTAGGTATTGTTTAATGTTTGTTTTTTACAATGTATCAATCAATAATACGTACTGTAGCAACATCGGTGGACGAAGCCATTGTTCACAATTTTCGAGTTTAGATAAATTATAAAATTAAAAAATAGCAATTAAATAATATCATTTGTATGAAATGTCTTTCTCAAAAACTCACACCGGTCAATCACGCTAACCTATGAATTCTGTAATACATATTTATCTGGTAGACACTGGAATATCTGGATAGGAGTCTACAGTAGCGCTACTAAAAAATGCGAGAACTTACTTGTGAAAACAATTGCGCGATCGGTAGAATCGTGAGAGTGTCGTACAATTATAAAAAGATTTGCTTTATGCAACTTTTTTATTTATATTTCTCGTCTTTCTTAAAGTTCAATATATAATTTATGTATTATATACTATAATAAATTAAATACATTTATAATTTTAAAAAATTACATAAGTTATATATACATATATTGTATAATTTAAAATAAAAGAAATAAAAATATATATAGATATTACAAATTTAATATATATCTATTATATTCAACAACAAATATTTATACAACTTTAATGTAGATAATTTTTAATAGATATAAGAGATAAACTAAATAAAATAGATTAATAGATAAACATAAAATCCTTACTGCAAAAGTGACATAATTAACTAAAAAAATCAAATTAACTATTGTAAGTTGAAATAACTGATTTATAATTGTTAACATCCATCTCAATATTTCTAAAGTTTCTAACCATTACTTATTTTTCAATTTAAAAAAGAAAGTGTAATATTAATATACATCTAGACATCGATATAATTAATTTCTTTCATAATTATATTACAATTATAATATTTTACCTTTATCATATAAATTTTTATCTTTTTTGAAAAAGATAGAAAAGACCTTCATGCAAGAAATTGTTATTATTCATAATGACACAAAGCAAATATAATATATAACTGAAATTAAGATTAGGAACAGTAATTATGTGTTATAAAATTTTGTATAACATTGTGGTGTCACATTTGTTCATTTTTTACATTTTTCAATTTAAAGATCATATCTTACGACAGACCAAGTGTATGCACATGAGGTAGTTGTGTCATTAATTTTAACGCATTTATAATTTTTGGTAAGTAGGTAAAAACGGCACATATGACGTCCATTTCCATCTGAAAAATATTAACTTAAATATTAACTGCACGTCGTACATATTATATATAGATAAAATCTATAATGTGTATTAATAACACCTTCTCAGCAGACTCATTCCGAACGGAAAGTCAAAGGTATTCTGGACGTACTCAGCATCAGACGCTTCGTTAATTTTTTTGTCAATCGCGCCATCAGTCAATTCCATTTCTTTTGCCCAAGCCTCCAATCCGCGATCTTTTGCATTACCTTATAAATTTAAATAGATAAATCAATAAGTACATATCCTATTATTATTAACCGTTATCAATAGTACCTGGGATAATATTATCCAATAAACAGCCTAACGCACCACCTACTAGAATAGTGGTGCTGAGTAATACGGTGAATACGCTGTCCACGATGGCATTTCCTGTTTGTATTGTGTCCGGATATTTAATCAGCCACTTCGACAGGACCTGAAATAGATCATAAAATCACATGCATTCACTCTTGCTTATAAATATATGTACATAGATATGTAATTTATATGAAAAATGTTTATGCTATTTATATTCCCTAGTAGCACAATTCATTGTCGCAAAATTAGACCAATATATTCCCAATGTGTACCAATATTTAACCAATATTTCATCTATAAATTGTGGTGCTAAGGATGTAAATAGCAAAAATTTATGTAATTGAATACACATTCGTATCCTGGGAAGTGTATTCACCAAAGGGAAAAACATGGACAAGCCCAAAATGAATAAGTTTCTCGAGGAATTGAGATTAACGTATTGTAATGCTGACAAACCTGAAAAAAAGAACTGCGGATTAAAAATAAAAATAATAAAGAAGAAAGAAAACAGTAATTTTTAAATTAAAAACAGTTTTCTAATTAGTTATACATTTAAATTATAAACACTACGAATAAATTTGCTATCTTTTCATGAAATCTTTCTAATATAAGTCTTACATATCTCGTTTAATTAATATATAAAAATAAAAATAGTTTTATGCAGTGAGGCAAAAAATAGTTATAGGCAGTGAGAATAAATCAAATATAGTAAAATATCAATATAAGCCTTCGATTTTTAGTGATGCGTAAATAATATATTTTATTGCTTCATAAATTATTCACGCACCAACAATTGCAGAAGCTCATATTGACATTTTATTTATATTTGATTTATATTATATATATCTCGTTTAAGAGTATATGGGACGTCTAAATACACCTTTTACTCTGAGATTTAATATTCATAAATAAAGTATTTCACAATTGAGAACGTATCGTAGAACTAATTTATGCTCACCGAAAGCACAAATCATTCCAAACATTACGCAGAATATTCCACCAACTATCGGCTCGGGAATTATGATGAATACCGCACCAAATTTACTGATTACACCTTGCAGGAGCATCAGGAAACACGCCCATTGTATGACTCTGCGGCTGCCGACTTTAGTGACCCCTAATTGTTTTCATTACGTTCTATCAGATAATGCTGTTATACCAAAAATCTGCATCAAACTCGCGGTTAAAATGTATAATCGTTACCTATCGTGCCGACATTCTCGCCGAATGTATTTGTGCCATTGCCGCTACCCCAAAGTCCGGCCAGTATCGTACCCAGACCTTCTATACCGATACCACGGTTGATCGCATGAACCGGCGGCGGCGGAGCTCCTGAAAGTTTCTTGATAAATCACAAGCTCATTATTAACAAAAATTTTGTTTTACAACAAGTCTTATTCTATTTAGATCGTTTTTATTGATCATAAAAGATTCTTCCTGGAAAGAGTCATCACCTCATTATTAGCGCTCATAAATAAGAAATGGCTCTAAAAGGAAAAAATTATGAAAAAATCTCTCATTTCTAAAATGAATATACCTACCACACATTCTCGCGGTGGTCGGATAGTAACTGATGGACTCGACAGTGCACGCTAATACTCCTGCTAGCATACCAAGTACTCCTGACAATGTTACGGTGGGTACGCCCCACTGTCCAGGATACGGTACCCGAAACCAGGGTGAGTCGCTTATAATTCTCAATTTGCTATCTGATCTGGCGGGATGACCAAACGGTAGCGTATCGGTCACTGTTAGTATGGTGCAGATTATCCACATGACAACTATCGTCAGCAAAACCTAATGCAACAAACACTCTAAATATAAATGAGTAAATATTAGCGATATTTTCATATAATATATAAATTTTTTATTCTAAAACAACGATCTGCAATTTTGTAAATAGACACAAAATTTCTACGGAATATAAATATCTTTAAGTGAAAAAAAGTATAAAAAGAAATGCTTAAAATAGAAACTCAAGAATCATTATTTATTTATTCTACGGTAATTCGCATTATCATTATCAAATTTAGGATCGTTCTCTCTTGATTCTTACTGGAAAGAGTTTGAACAATTCGAACCAAATAACGTGGAGTCCATGGCCCTTGCGATATATTATAAACGGAAATGGAATGTTGACCATTATTTGAGAACATGTCGTCAGTAGTATTATTGTTCTAAAAATATACACGAGCATTCATTAAATCCTAAGATATCTAATTTTATTAGATTTTAATCCTAAGAATTAGAGACTTTTATAAAAATAAGACTTTATCTGAATTTTAAACTTTTTAAGCCACAAGAAATTAATCAATTATAGTCGCGAGCATTTCCCGAAGATGAAATGAAATGCTGAATGATAAAATGAGTATAGAGTTTACTTGAGAATTGCGTTGTTATGTGTCAGAAAAGGATATGCAAATGTGAAAACACGGCGAACGTGGCAAAATATAGCTGGCCGTCCCCGTTCATGACGCACGTCTGGTCCTCGTCTGTTCGGCCAAGGTCATTGAACAAAGATCTATTTTAAAAAAAGTTGTAATTGAATAATCAATCAGCCAGACAGCATTGTACAATAAAGAGCATGTCGAAACGGAATTTACAGACCGTTTATTATTCCATTAAACATTCGACAGCTGTAATTTGATAATTGATCAATTTCTTAAGATTTACAGCTTAGGTAATGGCTTATTGTAGAAAACCTTTTAGTCGTAATTATTATATATATATATATATATATATACACACATATATGTATATATCACTTATGTACAAACATACCCAGCTGCGATACCCCAATGCTGAGACGCGGCATCCGCTGCGTTTTCGAAGAGAGATAGTCCAACTAGCGAAACCGTCGGCACAATTGTCAATGGAGTTATAAATTTCAACAAATATCCGATGATGCCTGCATGCAAATGCATTTTTAACATCTTAAGATAAAAAGATGAATTAAATAAAGAGAAGAAAAATTGTATTACGCAACAGATTTGGTAATTAAAAGGCGCTTACCTCCAAATCCAATGATCACTTGGAACAAGGCGGAAACAGCAATGGCACCTGACAGTTCTCTCATTCGGATTTGCCAAAGCTCGGTGCGGTTTTCGTGAGACATTTGCTCGAGAACTTCAGGTGCAGGACACTGCCACTGCGGCAGATTCAATATCGCTAAAGTTGGCACCAAAAATGATATGGTACCACCCTGCACTAATGGCAACCTAATGCAAACGTACATTTCGTTGTAATTAAAGTTTGTTATCGGTATTCCTACAAGCGTGCCAAGTAATGTGAAATTTTATATTTGCAAATGGAAATAGCCATTAGAATATATTATAAATGTTCCTCAACGTACAAGATGATTTTAAAGAATTTTTGGACAATGTAAAATTGACTTTTTTTTTAAACAAAAACATAAAAAATTATCATTTATAAAATAAAAAATTCTAATAAAATAAACTCCATTTAAAATTAACTATAAATAGATTCTTAATTATTTAATTAGTTTTTTTTAATATAAGACATAATTTTACTATTCTGTTTAATTTATAAAGACATAATCACATTTTTTAATTTTTTTTTAAATTAGAGATAAGTGTCAAAAATTGATTTGGATATATAATAGCAGTTTGTTTGTATGTGTATCTAACTTTTGTTAAATCAAAAAAATTCGTATGCAATAATTACTGTATGTATAATAAACTTTATAAATATATTCTGTCTTATTGTAGAATTTTGTACACTTACCTACATCCTATAGTAGTTTGAATAAACGTCACTAAACCAGTAACAAAAATCATGGTAGAAATAATATGACTCCTTGCGGGGTCATCTTCGGCCATACAGAGGGCTGGCGTCAGAATGAAAGGAATAGAAACGATGGCGCCAATCATGGTTAAATAATGCTAGAAAAACATCTGTTTTATTTACATTGTATTTTCAATAGAGAAAAACAAAGAAAAAAACGATACTTGCATTAGATTCAGAAAATTGTATTTAAATTGTTTAATTGCGATAAAAGAGTGCTGTCTCTCTCTCTCTCTCTCTCTCTCTCTCTCTCTGTCTCTCTATTTTTCTGTCTCTTAATTCGTTCAATAGTGTGATAGCTTGTTCAATGATATCAAGTTAAACAACTATATTAGGTAATATATGTGTTGTATTATGTGTGCGTATTTTCAAAAGTCATGCAAATAATGATGTCTTCCACCATAAAATTTATAGCACAAAACAATACGTAAGATGTTGTAACATACTTTTAACACTCGTTAACGCGTCTCGATTCTTATCTCATAAAGTAAATGTCTCGCAATAAAAGCGCAAGTTTCCTATTCATACGAAATCGTATAAGACATGACGTTTGCTTTGTACTTATTAACATTCTTTTTTTTGGAATATTTGTTGCATTTTTATTCATATAAGATCGATAATGTATATACATTTTAAATAATTTAATCAATTCAAATAAAAATTAAATATGGAAATAAAAAGCAGAGATGTTCAAAACCTGTAATGCCATGAATAAACACAAATACCATGGCGGAGCGTCATCAATACCATAAGTAATCTCAGGATTTCTGTTTGTGTCGTTCGTTGCTTCCTTTGTTATTGGAATGACCGTTGAATTGTCTCTATTCTGAAAGATCAAAGAATAAAAAATGATGATTATATCTACACGATTAAAAATGCTACAAAAATGAATATCAAATAGAAAATATATTATGAAGTAAACCGCCGTTAAAACATAATATTAATATAAATAACAATAAATAAAGCTCAAAGTAGTCAACACATTTCTTTGAAAAGTCACACAATTAAAAGAATAAATTACAAATAGAGAAAAGTATATAATAAAAAATAAAAAATAATTATAAAATATAATTAAATAATATTAATATTACAAAACTTTATCGAAAAATAAATTAATTTAAAATAAAAAATGACATCTTTATATTCAGCATTGTGTTTTAAAATTTAATTGAATATATTAAGTAATTATCAATTATAAAATTCACGTAAACCATGATTTACAATTATGATTTATCGTATGAAAATATGAAAAACAGCAAGACGTGATTTCTTTATAAAACGTCTTGCTAATTTCATGTGATAATATATACACTTGTCTTAAAGTATAATCGTGATTAAAAATAAATAAGATTCTAAATTCTGAAGAACTCACAAAATTGTAAAAAAATTAAAATGTATAAAGAACAAGAGCTAATAAGAGTCAAAGCGTGACAATTGGAGCGGTAATTAATTAATGTAAATATTTTTTATTCAATTTACTTAATTGAACGTTGCGAATCCGCATCTTCAGTAATAAATTAAAAAATCAAAAGTTTCCAGTAGATCAGGAATAATTATTTTCCCAATTATATTCTTGATACGTTGTATCGTTGGCACATACAAAGTGAATAAAAATTGTTGAACCAACTTTAAAAGCTGGTTCAACGGCTCTGATTCACCCTATATATGGTTGGTCAGTCAAGTAAGGGCCATTCCACACAAACTTGCATAGTTGCATAACCATATGCATAAAGAAAATTATCTAATCACATTTTTGTCATAAAGGCAAACGTAAAATACAATTGAATGATTTTCTTTATGCATATGTTTATGCGGCTATGCAAGTTTGTGTGGAATGGCTCTAAGGGTTTGAGCACAAGAATTGTCGTAACACTTACTAAGAGACTTAAGTTGTGTTTATAAAATATTGATAGACCTCTCACAACCATTTTTCAATTTGTACTTAAGTGACACTGATGCGATTAGGGTCTGAGCACAAGAATTGTTGTAACACTTACTTAGACTTAAAAGCCAGACAAATTGTAGATGTAAATAACGCACAAGCTTTGACGTATAATGTATGATTTATTGCCGTCTCTTGGAGACATGGCAATAAGTTGTATATATAACTAAGTACAAATTGAAAAATAATTGTGAGAAGTCTGTCAATATTTTACAAAATCCTAAATTCGGCAGAGTGAGATAAAAGCTTATACTAATAAATTAAAATAATTTATTAGTTTAATTAAGAGAGTTGTTAGACAGAGCAATAAGAGTCTAATAAGAATACCAAATTTACAATAAATAATTAGAGAGTTACATGTATTAATAAATATAAGAAAAATTAAAAGTTGAAAAACCAAATGAATATTTTTTAAAGCAACAAGAATTGCTCAGAAACAGTTAAAAGATCGTATGGAGAGAGCATCTGAGTGAGCAATTCTTATTGCTCTGGAAAATATTTATTTAGCCTCTCAAGAGGCTCTCATCTATTGACATATTTGAGTGTTCATTAGAACACGAGTAAAATTTCTTATAATGCCGCACCTTTTATTCTGTCCCGTATGATTTTCAAACACGAGAAACTGAACGTATTGCTTGCGAATGAGTGATAAAAGGTATCAAAATAACGGAAAGATATCTTTTTCATATTGTCTTTTCGGCAGTACGAAAAGATCTTTTAGTCGACCTTTTACTTTGCAAAAATGACAGCCATAGAAAGATGACGAAAAGATATTTTTTTTAAGTGTCTTCCCAACAAAACTAAAAGATGTCTTATAGACATCTTGCTAAAAAGTATTAGTCTTGCTAAAAAGATAATTTAAAATAATGTCTTTCGTCATCTTTTGGACACTTTTTCGCTTTGTTGAAAAGACACTTAAAAAAGACCTTTTTTCGTTATCTTTTAGTATTTTGTGGTATCTGGGTAAATACGTGTGGCAGTTCGTGAGACATACCCATAATAATTATTAGCCATATCGTTATGGCGGCATGGTGATAACTCGTACATTTGCGCTTTTTAATTTTTACGAAGAATTTTCTCAATAACGGCAGTAAATGTAAGAATTTTAGAGTATCGCTTTTATTCGTCATAAAAAATTGATTTAAAATAATTTAAAATAACAGTCACTCACTTTTTTTCAATCTAAAAAATATAAATTTACAAAGTCAAGCGTTTTAATTAACATGGCGATTACTGGGCAAACTACCTTAACTTTCTAGTTATTTATTCTAAATTTGATGTTTTTATTTGACTCTTGTTGGCCTGTTAATCTCAATTCTATTTAATAACAAGAGAGAGTCCTGTATTTTATCTAATTTAATTAAGAAAGTCTAAGAGAATTGTTATTGAAACTTTTATGGTAAAATAATACAATCTGCAAATTATGTTAATGAGAAGTTATAATATGCTTGTGCTATCATAATAAATCCCACAAAAAAGAACTACCAGTTTTTGTGAGGATCAAGCATCTCGATAATTATTTTTCATCATTTCTCTCTATATGAAATATTCTACAAATTCTAAAATCTAAATCTACTATAATTATATGAAGTTACTTAAGAGAAAATAAAAATAAAAATCTAATTCTCTTTCGCGAGTTATTATGTGCACGTGTCTTAGACGTGAACGTTTCTAGATCTTTTTTTTAGCTATTTCAAAAAACTTGTTACATAAACTTGCTTTTGCATTATATAAGCTTTATTGATAATATCTATCTCTTGTAACAAATTCACTATTTCCATATGCGCCGACCGATACCAATTAATATCAATGCAAAAAGATACGAGAGTAGTTGAAGTCGTCATTACATAACGATGCGTCTTTTTTATCCGAACAGTCATGCTTGAATGAAAATTCCGTCACGTTTGCTTCCAGAAAGAAAGATTTATCGGCAATTATTTATTAACTTTATAGCTTTCCACGTGAACATTAGTCGTGGCTGTAATAATTAATGCTAACTAAAACAAAATCAAATCTTAAAATATTTTATAGTCTATTCTCTGTTCACGCGTTTATCTCATGAAATGTATCTTTATATATTATACTTAAGTAATTCTCATCTCGTATTTTTATTGATTGCAATGCTCATACTAAGCAAACAAAGCATCGACCGACATATTCTGACAAATACGCTAAATACGTTAAACGCTTGTCGATAATATGAGCTGGAACTTTCCTCGACGATGTCATATTAGAAGGTTTGTAAAGAAGATTCCATTGCTTGCGTGAAGCATTATAACTTAATTCGAAAACAGAATTATAAAAGATAATGGCTCTCTGTTATCAATAATTAATACAAGCACATATGAGCCAAACGCAAGTTTTAAGTATAAATATAATACAAGGATTATTAAATGTAAAAAGACGAATTTGAAGATTGATTAACTATTTACTGAAAAATTGATTTTTGCAAGATGTTGTGTTGAGAGGAGTTATAAAAAACATTGAATATTTCTCCATGCACCTACAACACAAACTTTTGTATATATCAATAAAGTAAAAAA